TTTAGGCTATGCTGCCACTTCTCTAATCATAGGTATTGCATAACAAATCAATAATATGCACTACATACTGTTAACTCTACAGACTGTGCTCCCATTTTAATAGCAGTTATGTTAATAAGCACGTGAAAATGTAGAAAATACGTTTGTGCATTTTTCACTAGTATATGTATATGTAACTAGTATATGTATATGTATATGTAACAGTTTTACTATATCAAGATATATATATATATATATATATATATATATATATATTCATCATAGATATTAGAAATATTATTTATATTTTTTGTTATGTGCATGCTTAATGTGTAGTTTATCAAAAATCAAATTCTATGTCGTGACTTTGGAATCAACTTGATGTTGTCATTTGGAATTGGAAAAATTTGCAAATATATTGCAAATATTTTTGTTTTTATGCACTCATCTTTTAAATGAATTTGGTGTAAGCTAATTTAGCTACAATAATTTAACTAGAAACGAATACTTAATTTGATTTCTAATGTCATTTCTAATAAGTGCCTTGTGCTTTTTATGCTGCTCAATAAGTTTCTATGTTTTATTTTGTATAATAATCTTGTACGAAAGCAAGCATTGATATTATATATTAATATATAAATTATATATTAAGACAGAATAATTGCGATTAAAAAAGATCGGTGATGTTCTCATTTCAATAAATATTTTTTGACACTTGTAATATTTCCTTATTATTGTTTGAAATAATTTCGTCTGGCAGTTATTATGAATTGTCTTTTTATGTATGTATTACAGTGAGGAATGTATGCAAATATTTGCATGTCTTATTATAACGATTTAGCAATGATAAAAATATTCTGTCAACTGAATGTTGCAGATTGAACATGTCCAGCGATCTCATATCATTACATATTGGCGATCGAATCTTGGAAGTAAATGGCACCCCTGTTAAAGACCAGCCGGTGGAAAATATTGAAAATCTCATACAATACTCGGACACAGTTTTACAAGTAAGTTCACATTTTTTCAAAGTGTGTCATTTCGTTAATATAATAGTTATATTGAACGTCAATTGAACGTCATATTCGACGTTTTAGTTGACTATCGAGCACGATCCAGATGCAGTATTACGACGGCCCACGTTCTCTTCACCGTCCTCGGCGGCGCTGACATGTGTCGGTAGTCCCAGGACAAGTCCCGAAGGCAAAGAGCGGTTATTTAAGCGTCGGGACGAAGGTTACATTAACGGTGCGCGGAGCCGACAATTGCGAAGAACGAGAGATCCTATGCATAAAGAACGTAGTAGTTCTATGTCGCGATTGCTCGACGGGTAGGACAATTAATACATGATACATTAAGTCTGTTCAAAATTTGGCTCGCAAGCTAAACGCTTCCACCTCTTCATTTATTTTCGTTTATTCTCCTTTATCCTTTTTTGTTTTTTCTCTATTTCTCTATGTCTCAACAACGCAACGAAGAGGTGAAAGCGGTTATAGCTATCGTGAGCAAAATCTGTTGAACAGATCTGCAATCACTTAATAAATTATCGATGTGATTCGCTAAATTGCAGATCTTCTCCAACGAATCCTACTTATGATTTGAGCCGCACCAGATCCTTCCGTGTAGAACCAAAGAATCAGAGAATATTTCGAGCGAGTGATTTGGTGAAAGGCGAACTCCTGGGCAAAGGATTCTTTGGACAAGTATTCAAGGTGACGCATCGCGATACGGACGAGGTGATGGTTCTCAAGGAATTGTACAGAGTGGATGAGGACGCGCAAAAGAACTTTTTGAAAGAGGTAACTTTTTAATACAAGTTTAACTTACACAAATGTGATAAAATTGAAAAGACTGCAAATATATTTTATACACACACACACACACATATACACAATTTAACGTTCGAATGCTCAGATTTTGCATTTTCTGTGTATTTCAGCGTTAAATAGATGTTAGATTCAGTTAATTTTATGTATTCTTCCCTTTGAAAATAATTCAACAGGTTGCGGTACTACGTTCATTACACCATAACAACGTTCTTCGATTTATCGGTGTTCTTTACAAGGATAAGAAACTGCATTTGGTTACCGAATACATAGCAGGTGGCACGTTAAGGGCCCTGCTTCACGACACGAACGAACCATTGCCGTGGGAACAGCGTACGTCTTTTGCAAAAGATATCGCTGCCGGCATGGCTTATTTGCATTCTATGAACATTATCCATCGCGACTTAAACTCGCACAATTGTCTCGTTCGCGAGGATAAAACTGTTGTTGTTGCTGATTTCGGTCTGGCGAGAATCATTCAGAACGGTAACTCGCCAGACAATCGCAAATATAATCGACATTCCGATGGAGAGGTGAAGACTTCGAAGAAAGAACGAAAGAAACGATACACAGTTGTCGGGAATCCCTATTGGATGGCACCCGAGATGATGAAAGGCAACAAATACGATGAAAAAGTAGATATATTCAGCTTTGGTATCGTCGTCTGTGAAATTATAGGTCGAGTTCAGGCAGATCCCGATTATTTACCAAGAACCTCAGACTTCGGTTTGAATCAAAATGTCTTCAAGGAAAAATTTTGTTCCAATTGTCCAGAAACCTTTTATATGATCGCATTTCTTTGTTGTGATCTGAATCCCGACAAGAGGCCGCCATTCGAAGTTATGGAGGTTTGGCTAGAAGGATTGGCGATGCATTTGTCTGTAGGTGCCGAATTGCCAGCAGATCTTGACTTTGATATCAGGAATTACAAAGGACCGAGTCCGAGCAGCAGTGAGTCCACGACTCCAGAAACTCTGGCACCACAATTGAAACCTATCAAGGAAGGCCAAGTGCATCAAGAGAAAAAGCGGTCTACTGGTTGCGATGACAGTACTTTAGAACGTGAGATAGAGCCCTCGTCAGGTAATATTCTTCATGTGCCTGTGAGTCCACGTAACAGGTATACGAGACAAAATAGTAAGAGCAACGATAGTTCGGGCAACACGGGACGTTACTCGAAGCAAAATTCCAAATCAAAAGACTTCGTATCCGACAAGGAGAAGCCTGACATCGTGATTTCACCCGATTCCAGCGGTTTCAGCGGACGATACATGAGGAATAACAATATCAAATTGAAAGATACATCTCCCGACATTCCAAATACTTACGCTTATTCGAAGCAGGAAATATATCCAAGCCAAATCGAAGCGAATGAGCATAATGTGACTCGGATGCCCACCGTAGAGAAGATAAAGTACGTAGGAAACGCGAGTCCATATGTCGTACCGGATGCTTCGGAATATATAATCGACAGTAAAGGCTCGTATAAGATCAACATAAAACAGAAATCCGCGGAGAAATGTAATGATACAAGTGGTCACAAGACGAAGCCGGAGAGCAAATTCAAGATACCAGATGCCGCAGGTTCCGTCGGCATTTATCTAAAACAAATTGGTAAATCTATCGGCGCTATAGAGAAAGAAAATAAAATGATTAATAATACGGCAAACAACGGTGATACCGATTCGAAAAGAGTGATCAGTGAAGGCACAAAATCTACCGGATCATATTTGCGAAGAACAAAAATATCGCCGACCAAGGAGACATCGAAGAACGCATTTTCTAACAAAGAGACTATCAAAGATAAAGTTGATGGTATTTCGCCGCTAAAAAAATCCGAATCAAAAATCCCTCCAAATCAAGAGAATATCGTGGGAAACGAAAAGGATATTAAAGATAGATTATCTAGGCAGGAAAGTAATGTCTCCGACGTTGGCAGTATCTTGTCCAGAGAAGGAAGCCTTACAGTATTAGATTGCACATCTAAATACAAAGATTACTCACCATTCAATACTTTTACAAAGAGTGATTTTTGTCAAGATCATTCTTTCGGAAAGCAAAGCTCAGGGCTGTATCATACAGACAGTCTTTATTCCAACTCCAGCATTTCGAAACGAGACGATCTCATCATACCTAACAAGCAAAATACGAGTAATGACGTTGTTGGAATGAGACCGATGGACAATGGATCAAAAAGCTCAATGATGACTTCGTCTATATATAACAACGATTTAAAGACGATGCCAAGCTGTCTGGCTGAATATAATGGATGCTACAAGGGTATCGATATCTGCAGACAGGACAGTTTTGGTTCCGACAGCGCCCTCGGCACTATGAAGAGTGATTTCTTCGCGGATGTCGATTTCGCGCAAATAAGAGATGGTCGGCACACGCCGGACTTGTGCCATACATCTGAAAGGTGCTGCACACCTAATCGTCCGACATCACCGATAGAAAGTACTGCTTTATAAATCAAAATGCGCTACGGGAAGAGGATTGTTATTCTTCTTGAAGAGAAGTTGTTGCTTTACATCGAGATACATCGAGATAACGTTCGTAATCCCCGACGATGAATGAATCTCATTTGCTACTAATTTGATCTCTTTATTCATATAATTCATAAACTTTATTCAATAAGGGCCATGTTAACGTGCTTAGTTTTGCAGTATTAACTTTTTATTTTAAGAGTTTATTTCGTTTATTATTTTTATAAAACATTGAGCGATAAAAGATTGAATTCGTGTTGACCTTATGCGCGACATTTTAATATCTGTTTTGAAAAATTTTCTGAAAAAAGATATAGCTTTATTTTATTATTAAAATTGTGTATTTTAAAAATTTGGAAAGTTGATGATAGGCGCAAGACAGACGCAGGAACTTCGAACTGGAAATATTCCCGTTGAACACACAAATCAAAATATTGTCTTGCTGGGAAAAGTAATGACACAATACTCAGTATTAACGAATATTCAATTGCCGGTTTACGAATTTTTAGGTCGTAATGGCATCAGTTAATTAGCCGTAAGAATTTCGATTACATTCCTAAAAAAAGATCTTGCCACGTGGTTTTTCAAACGTGGGAGTTTAGGCGATGAAACGCGGCTCCCCCGACAAAAGCCATTCCATCCAAAATACTTGTAGAACCGGGATTTTGATAAGTACAATATTATTAGTGTGCTCGAAACAGTAGCACTGTGAATACGTCGATTTTTGCAAATTACGAATGACACGACTACAGAATCAAACAAACCGTCAAAAAGTCGAAGTACTAAGTACTAAGTAGAAGCTATACATTTTGACTTTGTAAGTTGGTGCAAAATACGTTTTCCCTGAGACTGCACGATCATGTAAGTTTTTCTGAAAATTGCGAGCACATCATGTAGACTCAGTTCTTGTAGAATACGGTGTAAAAATGGTATATTTGTTTCAGGGCATACAGATGTACATCACAGTGTAAAATATTGTATACGTTTTTGTAATACTGCTGTATATGTACAGATAATTGATATATTATATATGTATGTATACATACGTGCATATAAATATATACATATACATGCGACGTTTATATCTTCGTTACGTCCATTAACTGTTCTCGATGTACTCTGATAAGAGATTACATTGTACATTACAAATGTGAATTATATTTATGTATTTCTTTTCTACCGACGTATACAGTACGCTTCTTCTTTAACGAGGATATAAACGATGGCAGAGTAGTAAATAAAACGTGTGTATAAAAAAAAAGAAACAAATGATTTGTATATAAGTTTGTATATATTTGTATTCAAATATTTGTAATTTCCAAAACACCGATCGAGGTATTTGAGTAACAATAAGTTTTATACTTGCGACATAGGTTCTATTCCGAAATATATTGCCGATCCTTTTTTTTTTTCTTTTAAATCGCATGTCGACTATAATTTCATGACGATTTAGATGAAATTACATTGCTTTTATAGACGCAGTTCCAAGCAATAATTTTAATAAAACGTATAATTTCATCACATTTTTATCCCACCATCAACAAAATCATCTCACGTTAGATTGCATGCAAGCGACCACTTTCCCTCACCAGAAAAGAAGTTACTTTCGCGGTTACACGTTTGTTAATATATTGTTTCGAAAATAAAAAAAAACGTTTATTACTCATATAATAAAGGCATTCTCGAATTGTTTGTATCTATAACATATTTTGTGATTAGTCTGACGATCGTTTTTCCTTTTCTTTTTTTGTCTTAAAATTATAATTGACCGCACGAAAAAAGCCTAAAGAAACAACCCTGATCTTTATTTTTCTCTACGTGTTAGTTTTAGTTTAATTCTCTCACAAATTGAAGACAAGCGAATCTAATGATCTATATTTTTTTGACTTTTAAAATCTGAATCTTATGCTCTGCGAATCCTAGCATTTTTTGTAAACTTCCACCGAAGAAAATCCTAAAGAATTACGAGATTTTACAGTATGTCTCGTAAACACATGGGGTAATTACTAATCAGCCGTTCTAGGCTTTAATATATAATTTCTACAAATGGATTCTAAATTAATCTCGGGGTTTAATTTATTTTTTATTCTTTTTAAATTCTTAGAGATTAAAAAAAAATTAGAGTAAATTTAAACCGAGATTAAAATTAAATTACATTGGTAGAAATGGACATAAGCCACGCGTCACCCCTTCTCTCTTCGTATATGTGGCATGTAATGGGAACACACACATTATCGCTAAATGTTACGAGCGTTTATCACGTAGAACAAGTTCCAAAACATCGCAAACAACGCGTGTCCAGTCATAGAGACGGACGTTGTGCAATAACTGTGCGGCTTGCTGTATGTATACGGTAGAGACTAGCCTAAGAGAATCGTTTCACGATCCTTGTCCTTAGTTAATGAGAGCAAACTAATTAGCGACCTAAGGTAGAGCGTTTCGTGAGAAATTGTGAGATTGCGTCATGGAAATTAAAAAAAAAAA